ATCGTATCTCCTCTTCCCAAATTGTCCATCATTTTTCTGCACAATCTGAGCGTCAATTAGGGAGAATTTACTGTATGTCGCGCCGGTGAAGCGTAATCAAAATGGAAACGGTAAGCGCGGGCACGAAACGAAGGCGCGACGATGAAAATGCAGGACCGAGCGCAGTTAATAATCGGATTAGTATTTTCGTGCCGGTAATCCAACTAGTCTCTTTGTCCCAGCGATAATTCACTGGGTCCAACGTCGAACCGTAGCTGGCTTGCATTAATCAACGTCGAAGTAAAGAGCGCCGCTGGTCCCGTGGCCCGGGTTCAAGGAAGGTTCGACTTTATCAACGACTTTATCAGGATAATCGAATGGAGTCGGCCAACCGAACTCCACGGCAGAATGCATCGTCCTGACGAAGTGGCGGGCTATCGAGCGACGATCCTGACGAAGTGACTATTTCCGTGGTTCTACATTACCGTCGTATATCACAATCGACAGACTCACCAATTTCGCGCCGGTAAAAATTGCTCCTTTCGCGCTCGACGCGAGAGCATTGTTTGCACTTCGCGACGGGCCCCCACGGTGATAGATAGCGTCCTATCGCGGACGATCTTTACGCCGTAATTAAACCCGGAGGACGACGATTCTCTATCGCGATCCATTCGCCAGCGACCAGAAAGCGGACAAATACAATCTGGAATCTTACGGCGAGGCTGTCGCTTGGAATCCGTACACCCGCGGATTCGGTCGATTTTCGCTTGTAATTACCGAAACGCTTATGTAGACATATAGTTTAATGCTTCTTTATTTCATATATTACAACGGAAGAGCGAAACCTTCTCTCAATGATTATTAGCAAATTAAATGAAATTTCTCGTTTCGCATAGAACTAGCCCGCCGGTAAAAATCGCACACTGCTGGTAGCACTGTAAAACTAAATTTCCGATTGCGTTTTGTTCAACAATGCTTGGAAACGATAAAGATATAGTTCGGTTATTGTTTGTTTCTTTGTCGTTTATGCGTTGCCTGGCCCGTTTTCGAAGACATTAAAGAAAACGCGACGAACTGCATTAGCGGAACGCGAGTTGATAATTTATCATTATAAAAATAGAGGAAGTTATAATGAAATTGGTGAGATTATTGATCCGAGTAAAAGTACAATCTCTAAAGTACTATGAAACGATACGAAGAAGGGAATCGAATATCAAATAAAGTCAGACAAAAATCCGATAAGAAACTGGATGCAACGAAAGAGCGATGGATTCCATAAAAAATTGAAGATAATCCGACGATAAGCGCTGTCAAATTGGCATCGCGTGTTCAAAAATATTGAAATGCAACGCTAAGTGCATCGACTATTAGAAGAGTACCAAGAAAAAAAATTGCCACGGTAGAATTGCACGGAATAATAAATAATAAGTTTACTTTCATTTGCTTTCATTTTCTCTGCACGTATACGACTTCCACTTAATTACAAATTCTCTTGTAAATAACGTTGCTTAGGCTCCCGTGAAAAATTTGATAAAAACACGCTCACCGTTGCCAACACAGGCTGCATTCGTACGTATTTATTCGTCCGGGGAGGGCGGTGGTTACACTTCCCTTTCCCGTTGGAAAATAATTATGTTTGGCTGCAGCGAAACACGTCAAAGTCATACTTAATATTCATTTTGCTCGAAAGAGAAAAAAAGCCGCGGAACGTTCTCCACGTGCTGAAAAGCACGGCCAAATTATAGCCGAGCCGTTACCAAAAGTGCGTTTCCCAGCTACTGTTCACGCTCGCCTTAGCAAAGGCGAACCGTTTTGTGCATTCTTGTTCGCATATTTTCATTCAATTAGGTATCGGCATCGTTTATGCGCTCGTGGATCAGAAGAATTCGATGGAACCGTCGCGTTCCTGAACAATGAAAATTCGAATCGAAACGAGCGAAACCAATTATTTTCACCTGAATATTTAGAATATTTAGCGTTGAACGATTAACACAACGCTGCGCGGATTCTGCGCGTAATTACGAAACCGAGACCTGGTTTTAGACGAAGCGGCGAGGTCGGTTCCGACGCGTTCACAACAATCGGATTGTTTGCGACACGATTGCGAGAAGAGCGGGACATCGGCCGCATAAGTAATTGTCTTGAATCCTCGCCGAAGTGTACCAGCAGCCCGCTTTTAAGATTCCGCAGCGACGTCGTCTCTTTTTTCTTCTCACGGCGCGCGGCGCATGCCTCGAAAAGTTGAAATAGTATTCAAAGAAGAGTTACAATTCTTTCGCCCTACTCGCGCGGAGCGAGGAGTTTATTATAGCGCCCCTTCCGCCCCCGCGCGGCTTCGAGGATCGACTGCGAGAATCTCAGAATCAGCGCTATATATACGTTTCTTTGTGAACTGCTTCAACTCATTAAAGGATTCTTCATTTCTGCTCCGAATTGCAATCTTCCTATTGTTCCTTTGCTCCATTCTGCGGCCTGATTATACAGGGTGTCCTGGGACTTTCCGGCCGAACTCCGAGAACTTGATTTAGAGGCAGAACGAGGGTAAGATGTCCTACAGGAGGCTTGCGAATAAATCCTTCGCTTCGAAGATATTATTAGGTGTCAAGGTTATTACATACAATTATTACATACAATTATTTACCTACAATTATTTACATACAATTATTAAATACAATTATTTACGTACAATAACCATGACATAATCATTGCTCTATTACGCTGCCTAATTATAGAGAGTGTCCTGGGACTTTCCGGCCAAACAATTCACAATACAGTAATGTCTCCCTAATTAATGCTCAGATTGTCCACAAAAGTGGGCAATTTGGGAAGAGGAGATACGATTATTCAATCCTTGCGGTTCATTTTTATAGTCACGAATTGTCAACAACTATAAAAACGTGCTGCAAATTGTCCAGTTTTGTGCACAATCTGAGCGTCGCCTAGGGAGACACCACTGTACAGTAATAGTAGACAACCTGAGCGTCAATTGGAGAGACATTGCTGTATTTAGAAGCGATATTCAGAAGCAAATCATTGGAGCCACGATTTGCATTGTCAAATAACGAGGAGCCTGTGTTATCGAATTTATCGAACGTCGCAGGCAATTCTGTGCATCGATACACGCGTTTCCCCATAAGCTAAAAAAAAGCCGCGACTAAATAGAGCTTGATAGCGCCGGCTGATTCCACGAAACAAACCGGCGCGGCACGGGCGCCGCGTCGTTGTTGATCGTCGAACGCAATGAAACACGATGGAATTACGATCGATGTCAGAGAAATAAATCATATTGTATTTTTGAACAAGCGTATCCTTCCACGCCGGAATGACCGTTTTCTGGGAACGCGGGGGCTGTAAAAATGGATGACCCGTATTCAGATTTTATTACCCGACACGTGTACGTATATTGCGTGCATGGTTGATGGTGGTGGCGAGGGGGGTGGAGAGAGGGTTCTCTTTTGTTTCAAAGCACAGATTCGACTTGATTTATAAACACGTTTCCGGCGCTACGCAGCTACGATCCAATGGACGCCGGCCGGGCAACGTATTTTTCTCGAACCAGAACATTTGATTTCGATTCTTTAATTCCCGTGCATTTTCGTGTTCGCAGCGTGTTTGCCTTTCCGCTCTTCATTTTTGTTCTCGTTGCTTCGTTTCGTTTTTGTAATACGTTTCTCGCGATATATCGTCGAATCTCGGCGATACACGGATAGCCTGCCGAGGCGGAAATGCGATAACAATCGAAGGCGTAAGTTCGAATTTCGAGTTTTCGAATGAAACTCTATTTTATCATGGTTTTCCGAAGCGTTGTTATTAGACGGCGAATTTCGCGCGTTTACGATAAAAATTGAGAACGAGACGAGAATAAATTAGTTCTCTCGATACAATCTCGAATATTATCGTACCGACTACGCTGTATAAAAACGGTACATTTTTCGGTGACTTTTACAGATTCACGAGACGCGGTGTGTATATTATCCGGGCCTTTGGTAATGGTCCAGATTTTTAGCAACAGCCTCAACAACACATATTATACCGGCGCGCTATCTACGATCGCGGACTCGTGCCCTCGTGTGCGGCCGAATCGAAAGAACTTTCTGCGAAAGCCCCCATTTCCATTCAGTTTCCCCCGTCCCAAGGAGAGATATGCCGACACTTTGCCCAGTGAGTAAATAAACGAGGGGAAAAGGAACACGCAGAAACGGGAAAGTATACCCATGAGATACAGGGATTGTTGATCCTTATCAACGCAGGAGTACCAAATCTATTCTATTACCATCTGTCATAAGCAGTGATTGAACGCCAGCTATTTATCAGCATATTTTTCACTAAAATTACAATTTAAGTAGCCAGTGATCGCTACATTTTCTTTCGCGGCCACATGCCACGATTCGAAGACGATTCGAAGGCAATTCGGAGGCCACATGCCACGATTCGAAGACAATTCGGAGGTCACATGATACAATTCGAAGACGATTCGAAGGCAATTCGGAGGCCACATGCCACGATTCGAAGACAATTCGGAGGCCATATGCCATTATTCGAAGGCAATTCGAAGACAATTCGGAGGTCACATGCCACAACTCGAAGACGATTCGAAGGCAATTCAGGGGCCATATGCCACTATTCGAATTCAATTCGGAGATCACATGCCACTATCCGAACGCAATTCGGAGGACGCAGCCACTAAACAAGTAAAACAGTTGCTAAACAGCCACTAAACAGGTTTCAACGATAATTTCATAAGTATTACCAAGTGCCTTTCATAAATATGCAGTGTCCAGTTTCAAGAACTGTTCAATGCGTCTGCAAATATCGTGAACTTTGTGGAAAGTTTCGAAAGAGCGATCAAAAGTGGTCGACTCCTTTGGACGAGTACACTCGTCACGACAGAAAATATTTCCACCTCTCCATGACGAGTATACTCGACAAATGCAGCTAATTGTTTAATCAGCTAATTGGTTAATCCGAATCTTTCAGATTTTATTTTCTCTCTCTCTCTCTCTCTCTCTCTCTCTCTCTCTCTCTCTCTCTCTCTCTCTCTCTCTCTCTCTCTCTGTCGCCAATAAACGCGTTTAACCGTTTTGCACGCGGCAGAGCCGGCGAATTAAATTTCACGAGCGCAAACAGGTCTAAGTACAATAATGTGATGAACGTGCTCGCACTTAATGCCATCGATCGGAAAGCTGCAACGACGTACGCGCATAAATTCCATGGAATTTCGGCTAATATCGGCGGTATAGTCTTCCGAGCTTCAGCGCGACATTAGCGCTGTAAGCACGAACCGATTCCTGCGGAATTATTCGACGGAAAGCGTATTGTTCGCAAATAAGGTAGCGCAGTAAATAATATTTGGATACGTTTCAAGCGAAACAACTTCTTCGAAATTGGAGCAACGACTTGAATTTTGTCGTATTAGTCGGATTAGTTTATCAGCTGGCGTACAATTTTTTCGAGAAAATTGCATTCGATCGGAATCGCGAAGAAAATCGCGAAGGCGTTGTTTTTTACAATTCTTCTGCATATCGTTTTCATCGGTTGCAGTCGCTCCGCGTATTCGACGTACTTCTTCACGTGGAATTAACCCCGTTCCCGCTCGCACGATAACGCCCCGTATAATTTATTTTCATAGCGGTATCGTTGTCTCGATTTTAGCCGGACGTGGTTCCATCCGTTTCCACCATCGGCACGCGTTAAACTCGAACCGCGGAAAGTTCAGAAACGCTTTTCCGTCGGGTCGAAAAACTCGAATTACTTTCTCATAGCACAGAACGGTCGAGAAGTTCTAAATGGCAGTGTATACAACCAGGCTTTCCGGTTTCGTTTTCCACCGGGGGAACACAGAGCGAACGAGCCCGTTCCGCGCCGGCCAGATAAATTGACGCTCGATTTAACAACCCCGGCCACTTCTTCGCGCAAACAAACTTAATTATTCCGCGGTTTCGTCCGCGCGTTTCGGCCGGGCTTCGAATCCGTGGCCGCGAAGAATGATACGAGTGGGCCGGCGTACCCGCCGACACCCTTCGCGCGACGCCTGTTAATTAGAAAACTTTCATTTCAGCCGGCTTAATTGAGCGCGACGCGCTCTCTCCGCAACCGCTGTTTAGAACTGTCTTCTCCTCTTTCTTTCCCGATCTCCGTTCTTCTCCTCTTATTTCTAGGATTCTTCTTCTTGTCCCTTCTTGCCAGCTTCCGCTTCACAATCAACGCGAAGTCTGTTCAGCGAACAAGACCCTTCTCGCAATCTGCCGAGTGCACTTTCTAATCCTAAGCCAAACAGAAAAGAAACACCGGAGAGAAAAGAAATCTGAATCGTACGAACCTGTTTGTAAATTAGTTTTTGTTCGTAATCACGCATATAATCGTTTTCTGTCGATGATGGAATACTTGATGATCTTCTATCTATTACCATCCAAGAAATGTTCTGTTAATTCGATAAATAATATTCGTTAACTTTCTATCGATCACGGAGTATCTAATAAATATCTGCCAATAATATCTAACGATCTTCCGTCGCTAATGGACTATCCAACAATTTTCTGTCAATGATGGGACATCCAATAATTTTCTGTTCATAATGGAACATCCAATAATTTCCAGGCAATTCTGTGAATCCTCTGCTCTAAACTGAAAGAGATAAAAAGGAATAAATGATCCAATCTAATGCTAATCCAATGGAATACATACTAATCTAATTTAATAAAAGGTTCGATCGGGCCGAGAGCAAAGAATATAATTATTTGAAAGTAGAAAACAATTTTCTGGCAATGATGGAACATCCAATAATTTTCTGTTCATAATGGAATATCCAATAATTTCCAGGCAATTCTGTGAATCCTCGGCTCTAAACTGAAAGAGATAAAAAGGAATAAATAATCCAATCTAATGCTAATCCAATGGAATACATACTAATATAATTTAATAAAAGGTTCGATCGGGTCGAGAGCAAAGGATATAATTATTTTGAAAGTAGAAAACAAAGCTCAATAATCATCGCAGACGTTTGAACGAGAACCAGAAAATAATTCGCTTCGAAAACCGGAACAATGGTTCCACACAAAGGATGGATAATTATAAGTTGTATTATAAAGTGCGTCGCGAGTGCGACGACCCCGTGCTCGACGTATTAACTCGTTGGAATCGGTGAATTTATTTAGCGGGCAAAATCGTGGAAGACGGAAGAGAATGGAAATTTGTTGGCAAGTTGGTATAAAGTTTATTCGCAACAGAATGGGACGCGCCGATTCTTTCGTCGGCGAGTTTACTCGAACAGAAGTACAACTGCTCCGGTCGGTGGGTAATTAGCGACCACTTCGGATTTTCTCTCTCGGTTCTCGACGAGAAAAAGCCGGCTGAACTTTTAACTTTCTGTGTGCAATCGGTTGTATATACATACATATATACATATATATATATATATATATATATATATATATATATATATATATATATATATATATATATATATATATATATATATATACTTGATCAAAGGCTCGAAATTAATACTGGAATATTTGAGAAAGTACGCGCATTCATTTCGTGGTAGTTTAATTCCCCGGGAAATACAGAGAACATTAAAGGCTATTCAGAAGTGACTTTAAATATTTCAGACGACAGATCTGTGATCCTATTTAGCGGGAATTGGAGTGAAACAGATACGCGGAGCGCGGTTCTCTCGGTCGTCGTTTCAATTCGAGAAATGTGTGTGTCCCGCAGGGATTGGGAATTTTGAAACGAATGAAACATTGCCGGACATTAGACGGGAATATCAGTTTCATATTCGGAAGTTAAATTAATGTTCTCCTTGATAATTTATATAATTCCGCGGACCGTGTGCGTTTAAATGTCGGCTGGAAGGGTAGCTTGGAGGAATCATTATCTCGAATTTCGAATTATATATGCAATATATATATTTTCGGTTAACCCCATGCGTTATGACAATGTATTATATTAAATATCCAATTGTATTGTATTAAACATCTAATTATATTAATAATTATAATACATTATTATAAAATATATATAATATATATTATTATAATATATAATTATAATTTATAATAAAAATTCACACTATAACTGAGACATCGCTGCTGTTTAAAATCGATCGATTTATATTTCCACGAAAAATCGAGCACAGTTTCATTTGGAAATGTAACGGTGTCATATCTTTCGTCAGACCAGGGGCTGAAAAATCATTAATTTGTGCCTCGCTCTGTATATTATACATATATATATATATATATATGTATTTGTAATTCAGTTAAGCAAGATATGAGACGAGCGTGTTTGCTCGATAAAAAACGATGAGGTGCCAACTTACGAATTGTAGAAAGCGGGCTCACGAGAGAGAGACAGTCGATTACATACCTGAAAAAAGAAAGAAAGAACGCGTTAATTTTAATTTCGATTTATTTCAATTGTTTAATTTTAATTGCTAATTTTTAAATTACTAATTATTACCTTACTAAATAGATTCTAGATCGCATCGATAAAGAAAAAGGCCCGCAAGAAAAATTCTTCGCGACTGGAGAGAGCCGAGACTTCGATCCTTGAACGCTCTGTTTTTTAGGGATGCTGCTTCTTGCGGGTGCCACCATCGCTTGGCGGTAAGTTGGTCACCCTATCCTTCCGGAGGTATAAGGTTAACACCTCGGCGCTCCATTAAGCGGCTATAGGCCTGTTTTGCTCAAATAAATGACGCAGGCTGGTTCAACAGTTTGACAAGCTCGAGCTAGCCGACATCTTTTTGTACAGTTATCTCGATGAATTGCCGCTAACGTTGCAGAATTATTTACAAAATCGATGGAACGAAAGAAGTACCATCCAATGGTATAATAATAATAATAGTAATAATAATAATAATAACAATAACAACAACAATAATAATAATAATAATAATAATAATAATAATAATAATAATAATAATAATAGTAATAATAACCATCGCTGTCGTAAGCAGAATTATTTACAAAATCGATGGAATGAAAGAAGTACCATCTAATGGTATAATAATAACAATAATAATAATAATAATAATAATAATAATAATAATAATAATAATAATAGTAATAATAACCACCGCTGTCGTAAGCAGTTAATAACAGTATAAACCAAAAATGATGCCACGGAGTGATAAAGATTTTAATGATAAAATCGAATTTATAACGATAGCGTAGCTGTGAGAAAAACCGTAGAGCAAGGTTTTAAATACGACAAAGCATATAGCAAAACGCGTATGTACAATTATGTGTGTACAATTAACTGATCCAAAGAAGCGGTTCATTATTCGATGTTCAACAATTCCGCCGGTGATATATTAATACGCGCGCCGTCGAAATTTCAAATTTCAGTTGTTTAAGCGATAAATGATTTAATACCGAGGAATGCGCGAGCTGTTTACAATAATATAGCTGAATAAACCATGTTAATTCGAACGATATCCGGCTATGAATTATAATATGTGGAAGTACCGCGAATGCGTAGCGACTGAAACATGCAAGTTATGGAGTTACGTTCGCGTATCTATTAGGGACAACGTGCGCAATTGCGACGAGTTTGTATTTTGGAGTTTCGCTATGAGTCCGAAAAAAGGTTCTGGAACGCGTTACGCGGCGCGAAAGATTCATTTTTCCCACACATTTTTGTTCTAATATCACTGAAAATGTATATCAATCTTGCTTCGAAACCGCACTTTTCGCATGAATTATTTTCACATTTAATATCCTACATAAATTGTTCCATTAGAATATTCCGCGTAAATTGTTCGACCAGGATAACAGCGCAAAATTTCAGAAACCTCAACAATTCATAAAGTCCCGCGACAAGAGATAAATCATAGTCGTAGTTTCGAAAAATAAATAACACCGTGCTATCAAAATTACGGCGTGGACAATTTTTGAACGAGATTCTTCTTTTCCCTTTAAATTCTACGAAAAATGAAATTCCCCCTGAATTCGTGTCGCGAGAAACTCGGATCATCGCGTATCAATCATCGATCGCGAATCAAAGGATCGAAACGCAAGGCCTGTTGATTGTAGATGTACATAATGCAAAATTGCCGATCATGGGGGGTATACTCGCGCGGTTCACTTGTTACGGATGAATTTATCGACAAGGGAAAATCAATGGTACGGTCGAACGATTGCTTGTTTCATTCTGCAAGCCACTTTGCTGCTACATACACGTGTCGCAAGCAAATCACGTTTACCGTAATGAATTAACTTCCATGTCAATTTGACTCGGAAGTTGACCTGCGAATATTAGAAGAGAAGAGCTACCCCGTGTGCCTAAGATATCTAATGTGTCGATTACTGTGCTTCCCCCACCCTCCGAATACTGAAACTCGATAAATGTAATATATAACATAATTTAATAAATTTTATTTAATTAATAATTAATTATTATTTATAATTATTATAAAATTATTTAATAATAATTTAATATAATAATAATAATAATAATAATATAATAATTATTATTATTTAATAATAATTTAATAATAATTTTAATTATTATTATATATATAATTATTATATAATTATTATTAATTAATAATTAATAATAAATTTTATTTTATTAATATGTTATTATCCTAAGCACGCTAAGTTATGTTTTCGCCAAGAAGGCCCGCCATTCGAGCGTTAATCGATAGGGCGCGAACGAGATACGGTGTGTCGCTTGAACGAGGCAGTTTATAGACTACGTCAAGCCGGCGAACAGCGGCTCGACCGGCTTTGCAGTAAGCTGAAAGACTTAGGACCGGAGCCAACTGTTGCAGGCCCTGGCCTTTGCTACTCGAAGAAAGGTAATTCGTTAATGTTCGCGATGATACGTTCGTTGTCCCGGGAGACACAACGCGCAGCCGTCGAACATGTAAAATTGTCCAGCGCATGCCCGGGAATCGTTGCTACCATATGTCACGATTCAACACGTTGTAAGAACGTAATATCGTTTCTAACAATATTTATATACTATAATTTATAGTGATTTATATTACTATAATTTTTAACAGTAATCTGATTCCTTCTTACCATCGTCCGGATCTCCGAACCACAAATTCGAAGCTATTATATTCGATTCCTTGTCTTGGAGCATTGTTTCGGCTGGATAATACGGTGTCTCGAACATCGTTTGAAACGCTACGACGCGAATTAGTTTCCTGCGTCGCGAAATGGCGGGCGAAAGGATCGCACGCACTTTTCTTCGGAATGAATGCGTGTCATCTGTTTTGCTCACTGAATAAACTGTATAAACTCACTTGTACATCAGGTAACGAATAAGGAGTAAATTTAACGATTCGAGAATGATAATAAACACTGCAACAAGACCAGCAATAAAGCGCATATGTCTAATACGTCTAACACGGCACATGTTGACTCTCGCGCGGTTCACAACGAAGAGAGGACGACCGTTACGGTTGCGACCAGGCGAGAGCAGGACGCCTGCGTTAGTCACGTGAAACACATCGCCGAAAGCCGTTCTCCTGTGCGAAACAAAGAGGTCGGCGTAATTGAGTAATGCGCTCACTCAGAGATGGCAGGTCCTGTCCCTCCCGCGCCGTCCTCGGCCGTACCTCATCTCGATTGTAAATTCGCGCCAAAATCAGCGGCCATCGTCTTGATTTGTGCGCCGAATCAACATCGTCGATCCCCCGAGCGAACATCTTTTACTTTGTCTTCCGTCTTTTACTTCCGACGAAGTGGTAAGTCGGAAAATGTAATGCAATTCGAAGTGCTTTGCGATCGAAACGCTAAGCGACAATATCTCGAGATATATTTATATATATTTATTATTAGTTCGGTGCTTGCTTTTCAAGTGGTTATAAATATATTAGTTATAAATAGCTATAAATATATTTTATAGTTATAAAGTATACAATTATTTATAGTAATTATTTATATAGTTATAAATATATTTTTAACGAGTCTACAACTAATGCAGACTTTCGACAATTTTGTTTGAGAAAGGTTTGAAAAATGTATGGTTGGAAGTGATCGATTGTGGGATTCCTTTTGTACGAGAGAGTTCCAAATGTATAATTTTTCTATAAACCGAAAGAAAGGTTACACGAACGTTGATGACATTTATAAATTTTAAGTGCTAGTTTTCGCGGATTGAAGTTAATGGACCCTCGGCGTGTAACGTTGCGCTCTGAACCCGGTCGCATATTACATATCCCCTCGATAGCCGTTTCAAAATCGCTAAGAGACCGTTCTGTTCTCGGTGCACGTGTTGCCGGACGCCTATTTAATCGAAGTGCACCGTAAAATATAAATTTTATTCGAGAAGATCTTTCGAATTTTCGCTACAAAAAGTTACCTTACAGAACAGTTGGCAGTGCTTTCATACAGGTTTCTCTATAATATATAATATATATAATATATACATGTATTAATTTTTATATTAATAGAATATAATACATAATAATATAATAATATATATAATATAATATAATATAATATAATTATGTAGCATATTATATTATATTATATTATTATTATTATTATTATATAATTATATATATATATATTAATATAATATGCTACACAATAATCTAATAAGAATATATATAAAAATAAATAATAATTCGCAACCTGTTACAACTCTTGAAAGAGGAAAGACATTTGCGATTTTGAAATCGATAATATTTTCGACTTGCGAGACTTGCCGCATCATTGCCGGTTTTATAGCGAAAGAACAATTTTGCGGTACACCAAACTTGAAGAATTGAATCTCGGCTGGGAAAAGCGAGCTTAGAGGCCGCCGTGCGATGCTTGAAACGCCACGCGCGAGAGATCATACCGTGTGGCCGGTGACGCGGACAAAGACTCCACGCTGTGACAAAGAAAAAGGGAATGACGCCATTAAGGCAAAGCCATATTGTTACCGCGGCTCTGTATTTTTCTATTACTGGCAGAAGTTCTGCGAGGGACGGCCGCGTGATCGAGCGGGCTCCGCTTCTTGGCCGACTGTGATTCAATTCGGCCGATCCGATTTTATTCGAAGCCAGTGGCGTTTCATCCGTCCGATCTCGCACAGACTCTATTTCGGATACCTCGAGTATCTAACCCGTTCGTAGCGAAACCCCTTCGCCCGATTTTACGCGGAAATGCAGCCCCCGAAGCTCGGGCCTCATTCATTAGGAAATTCTAATAACGTGTACTCTAATCGTACGTCTCCTTTCTGGGATACAGCAGTTTAGAACAAGTCGCAGATGCGGATCTTACTGTTTTGTCGTTTTCTTTGTTTAAATTAATTCGGTTCGTCCGAACATGAAACACAGTTGCGAGTCGAAAGTCGGCATCGCGAGACGTTTATTTTCTTTCATCGTTCGGGCCAGGTCTTTAACTGCAACTTAACGGTAAACTATGATAAATGTGAGCTAATAATAAATGTAATAATAAATATAATAATAAATTTAATAAACATTTAGCTTTCGAGGATTATTTTTCCTCCGTTTCAAGTTAACTTTACGAGAACAATTTAATCCCATTATCAACCATTCATTTCTTAGCAGATATTTTCAAGTAAAATATGCAACTATCTGCTATTTTTCAATTGACCAGATATGAAGATCGAACGCGTCCTCTATCCAAATTGACATTCGTTCGGATCTATCGATAGACCATCGTTTGAAAACGTTAAAAATGTTGCGCCGCTATCGGCTTCGTGCTCTACTAAAGACAACTCCGAGCCTGAGATGACAACAGTCGCTGTAGCCGTGCGCGCTAAATGTATTTGGTTCGCATGTCTACAGTTGACACCCAACCATATATAACTCGGTTCGAATCCCCCTAAGTGGGGTTTCTTGAGGGATTTTTCTCTCTCATCCCCTATAATCGGTTTTCGAATTTCATCCGCAGTTTGCAGACTGA